CCTGAGCACAGCAGGTGTGAGCCTTCCCCCCAAACCAGACAACTGCCTTCTCAATAAGTCATCCAGATAGACTGAACAGATACTCTTTATTTATTCCCCAGATTTCACACATATGTGGACTATACTGACAAGAAACACAAAGGGAAAAAGAATGGATTGATGATTGCCAGGGGGCTGAGGGCTGTGGGGAGGGGGAGATGCTGTCCAGAGGGTACAGGTGTTCAGACATAAGATGCCGGTTCCAGCACCTGCACTGCAGCCTGGAGCATGTAGCTAGCAGTACCTTTATGTCCTTGAAATTTGCTTCGAGGAAAGAGCTTTAATGTTCCTTAACAACAACAACAAAATGGTGATTATGTGAAGGGAAGAGAGCATTAGCTTACCTGATTATGGTGAGCATTTCACAAAAGACACATTGATCAAGCCGTCACATTGTCCAGACCTACATCATCATGCTGCACAAATACTGCTCAGTTTTTTGCTGTGGCAGCCCCATTCTAAACAAGTCTTTAATTCCATTTTCCCAACAGTATGTGTTTGCTTCATGTCTCTGTGTTACCTATTGATAAACCTCAAATATTTAATATTTTAGACTCTGTTATTATGTCTATTACGGGGATCTGTGATCTGTGAGCTTCAATGTGATTATTGTAATTGTGTTGGAGTACTGTGAACTCCAGTCTCTCCCTCTCCCCAGGTCTTCCTACTTCCGGAGACACAACAATATTGAAATTCTAGCAGTGACTAACCCTGCAGGCCTTGAAGTGTTCCAGCTAAAGGAAAAGTACTATTCCTCTCACTTTAAATCAAAAGCGAGAAGTGATTAAGCTTAGTGAGGAAAGCATGATGAAAGCTGAGATAGATTGAAAGCTAAGCCTCTTGCACCAAAAAGTTAACCAAAATGTCAATGCAAAGGAAAAGTTCCTGAAGGAAATTAAAAGTGCTACTCCAGTGAACACAAGAATGATAAGAAAGTGAACAGACTTAGTGCTGATACAGAGAAATTGCAGCTCTGAATAGAATTTAAAACCGGTCACAGTGTTCCCTTAAGCCACAGCCTATTCCAGAGTAGAGGCCCAGCTCTCTGCAGTGGAAGAAGGCCGAGAGGTGAGGAAGTTGCAGGAAAGTATTTTAGAAGTTACAGAGGTTGGTTCATGAGATTTAAGGAAACAGTCTCCAGAACATCTGAACACAAGTGAAGCTGATGGAGAAGCTAGCTAAAAGAGTCAGTAAAGGAAGCCATGCCTAACAACAGAATTTAATAATGCATTTATTTCCTCCCCCCCACTTCCTTTCCCTTTGTTGTTGTTACTGTGGTAACCAGGGATCACACACAGGCCTGACCTTTCCTTTGTATTGACAAAGATACTCCTTTAATTAGCCCCCAAAGTCTTTGCACATGGGACTGGAGACATAGCAGAGCAGAGAGGGCATTTGCCTTACACATAGCCAACCTGGGTTCGGTCCTGGTATCCCGTATGGTCCCCCATGCACTTTCAGGTGTAAGCCCAGAGAGTCGCCAGGTGTGGCCCATAAACAGAGTGCTTACAGATGCGCTCCCGGGGATTAGCAGGCTTTAGTTGTGCTATTCATGAACATTCTGGTTCAGGACTCGCCAGGAGGCATGTTGTGCCCATGCACAGACTTGCCAGGGGTCACCATTCCTGGCTGTGGCTCTCTCACCTCTGTCCTTTGTGCCTGTGAAACTACTAAAGCACAGGACCCACTGCACATCAAGCCCACTGTTGAGACCTATTGCCCAAGGGGAAATTTTTTTTTTCTTACAAAATGATACTGATCAGTGACAATGCACCTGTTCACTGAGGAGCTCTAAAGGAGATGTGCAAGGAGATGAGTATTGTTTCTATGTCTGCAGACACAACACCCATTCGCAGCCCACAGATCAAGGAGCAACTTCTCCCCCAAATCGTACTGGTACCGAGACACACTTCCTAAGGCAGTAGGTGCTGTCGATGGTGATTCTTTTGATGGTTCTGAGGAGAGTCCCTTGCAGACATGTAATGGCATTCTGGAGGCCATGAATAACATTCATGACTCATGGGAGGACGTAAAAACATCAGCATTAGCAGGAATTTGGAAAGAGCTAATCCCAGTGCTCGGGGATGACTTTGACAGATCTGAAGCTTCAGTGGAGATAACTGCAGGTGTGGGAATAGCGGGAGAACTAGAATTAGAATAAAGATGTGGGGCCAGAGAGAGTACAGAAGGGGAGGTGTTTGCCTTACCTTGACTCGTGTGTCTTTTGGGGGCGGAGGGAACAGTGCTCAAGTAGCCTCGGAGCCCCTCTAGCTACAAAGCCAGCTGGGCTGGTGTCAATATGAGGGTCCAATAAACGGTGCTGTGCAGACCCTGCAGTGCCAGGCCTCCCTGATGGTGCTCAGCGGCCTCCAGGGCTGCAGCCAGCAAAGCCCAGGAGATCATGTGGTGCTGAGGACCCAACCAAGATCAGCACCTGCTAGGCATGGGCCCTAACCACTGTACTATCTCCCCACCCTCAGAGGGTTTTTTTTTTTAATTTTAAGCCATCATGCTATTATATACTAACAGATTCCAGTATAATGTAAACATGTCATTTATGTGTACTGGAAAGCCAAAAATCATGTGTGACTCGCTCTATTGGGGTATGTGCTTCATTGTGATACTCTAGAACTGAACCTGTGGTATCTCTGAGGCATCTGAAGACCTTAAACTTACACAATGTTACATGTCAGGTATAGCGCAATAAAATGGGGGGAGGGGAAATCTAAATAATACTGCTCTCTCCCTTTATCCTTTCTCCAGTCACCTGTTCATTCCTAAATGCCTTCCCTGGTGGCAGAGAGACGCTGCACCATACCCGCTGCCTCTTCTAAATATCTTCTAACTGGCCCCAACCTGTTCTCTGTCACCAGCCCCCCGCCAAAAAAACCTGTGAATATAACTAAAGAGATAGAACAGTGGGTAGGGCACTTGCCTTGCACACAACTGACCCAGGTTTGTTCCTTGGCACCCCATATGGTCCTTTGAGCCCCACCAGGACTCACCCCTAAGCATAACTGGTTGAGGTCCAAGAATTTTTAACTGAACTAGGACTAACTTCCTACTCACCCGCCAAGATCCATTCTGACTCCCGGAAAGGTGGCATGGCCTTTCTTTATGCACTTTCTACTCTTTCTTGTCTTCCTCCTCTTTGAGTTCTAATATTAAGTAGCTGGAGTGGCGAGACTCTTCTCTCTCCCATTTCCTGTGATGAGCAGTTAGGGCCTTGCACATAGTGCTGTTCAATAAGCCTTGATTATAATGGATTGAGAGCTAAAAGGGACTCTCTGCTCCACTTAACTCCAAGCAAGCGTCCTCAGCTGAATTCTGCCCAGACCTTTCTTGCTCGGAAGAGCGGGTCTGCTCTGCCCTTGGCCATGTCATGCCCTCCCTTGCTAGGGCTGCACCCTGGTCCTATAGAGGAAGCAAAGGAGGAGTGTGAAGTTCTAACCTAAAGCAGTTTAGGATAGCAAAACAGAGGATGTGTCTGTGACATCCATGAAGCTTTACAAACCTGAGACTTGCCAGTAGTTTGCATTAGACCAGCTTCTGTGACAGACACCCAGAAGGAAGAGTGGTTACAAATCATTGTCTTATTTTTTCTATATATCTAAGGCTCCTCTTTGTAAAGTCTATTTCACAACTATATTGAAGGACCAGAGAGATGATAGTTCAGGAGCTTATTACTTTGCAATGTGTCTGCTCCTGTTTGATGCTCAGTACCACATTGGCCCCTGAATATGACCACAAGACAATTGCCTTAACTCCTGAACTCTCTCTCTGGCCCCAAGGTATATAGCTTCTTAACAGTGGTTTAGAACTCTTTATGGGGGGTTGCATAACCTCTTTAAAAAACGTTTTAAAATAAATGTATTTGTGACAAAAAAAAAAGTAGTTACAAATGAGGCAGAGGGCACCAAAGCCCACTGGTGCCTTGGCCTACCTTGGCCTCATGGAGAGCAGGTAGTTTCCTGGCTCCCGAATTCAGAAGATTTCTAAGAACAGCACATTCACTTGGACTCAAAAAATAGGCATTTGGATATAGATTATTCCTGGATGGACTGTGCACAGTGCTTAATGGAGGGCTGAAATGTGGTACTGCAGCCTTGCTTCAGGCCTTGGGCCATCCTGAGGGACAGAGAGGCCTGGACTCTATAGCCTCTGCCTGACTCGAAGGAACAGGGGCCTGGGACCCATGTCCTGAAGGCTGCATGCTGGAAAGACAGATGTGTTTCGTATGTGAGGCTGCTTTGCAGCAGGGGAGCAGAGAGGGTGAGGGAAGGGAAAGAGAGACAGACAGAGAGAGAGAGAGAGAGAGAGAGAACAGGCAGGAAGTCTTTATGGCATGAGAGGGGGGAGGTCTCCTGAGAAGGATTCCTGAGAAAGGCAGAAAATGTTTTCCTTTCAGACCTCAACTCGGGGAATGGGTGAGCACTTTTTTTGTGAGTTTATATTGAGGATAGCGACCAGAGAGATACTGCAGAGGTTAAGGCACTTGCCTTGCATATCCCTGAGCCAGGTTTGATTTGATTTTGGTGGGGAGGGGGGGCACATCCAATGGTGTGTAGGGATTACTCCTGGCAGGCCCCGAGAGAAACACCCTCCAAGGCAAACGCCCTGCCCATTGTACTATCACTCTGGAACTCTGGAACCCTGAGCCAAGTTTTATCCCTGGCACCTTATGGTCCCTTGAACCCCAACCAGGAGTAAACCCAGAGATCTTTCAGGTATAGCATCAAACCTCCTCCCAGTTTGACTCTGCCTCAGTTTCCCCTATCCCTATCATGCCCCCCCCCTTAAGCTGGAGGCTCTGCCACAGTTGAACGGCCTTTTCTGCCTCACCCAGGACTGCATTCCAGAAGAGTTGAGCACAGGTTAGCGGCCCCAGCCTCTTTGGTGGGCGGCTGAAACTCACTATCCTGCTCTGCTGAACCTTGATTGAGCCCACTCTCTCCCCACAGCGCCATGGGGGTGCTGATGTCCAAGCGGCAGACGGTGGAGCAGGTGCAGAAGGTGAGCCTGGCTGTGTCTGCCTTCAAGGACGGGCTGCGGGACAGACCTTCCATCCGACGTGCAGGCGAGCTCCCAGGGTCCCGCCGTGGCACCGTCGAGGGCTCTGTCCAGGAAGTGCAGGAGGAGAAAGAAGCCGAGGCCAGTGGCCCAGTACTCCAGGAAGAGAGCAGCGTCCCGCGGGGCGCCTGGGAGCGGCTCCGAGATGGGCGTGGGGTGGAGCCCGAGGACTTGGACAGGAGCAGCCGCTGCTTCACACCGCCCGCCTACATCCGGCCTACCCGCCAGCTGGATGATGACAAGCCCCCCGACATCTGCTTGGAGTCCAGAGACGCCGTGAGTGTCCTTGGGAAGGAGTGACTGAGTCTTAGACCAGCTGAGGATGGGGGTGGGGTGGGGCCAAAGCGAAATGCAAAAGCCAGAAAGAAGGGCCAGGGTCCAGAGCACTTTTGAGTTTCTTCCCCCGAGAAGACCAGTGTTCGTCCTGTCACTGACTAAGGACTCAGGACTCAGGCAGTGGATGAGGAGCTCAGCCCTCTGGACGAGCAGGTGGGGTACTGGGAAGGGAGAGATCCAGGAGGTCCCAGTAATGGGGAGATCCTGCTGGCATCTGTCCAGGGGAGCCAGGGATGGTCAGTATTCTGCCTTTCTGCCTTGCCTAAGAATTCTCTCCAAAACCTCACAGTGGGGCCAGAACAGTAACATAGCAGGTAGGGCATTTACCTTGTACATAGCCAACCTGGGTTTCATCCCTAGAATCCATTATGGTCCCCACTAAGAGTGATCTCTGAGCACAAAGCCAGGAGTAAGTACTGAGCATCGCTAGATATGACCCCCCCAAAAAAAAAAAAGTAAAAACACTCATAGTGCCTGTTCAGAAAGCTGGATGGAGAGACTTAGGCAGCTAGAAGCGCCTGCTGGCCCTTGTCCTCTAGAGAGAAAGCTCCGTTACCCCGACACTGGCTTCCCAGGGAGCGGTTGCTCTGGGTCAGCAACCCACTAGCAACCCCTTTTGCCCAAGAAATTTTTACAAGACCCCAGGTAAATGTAGTTCTAAAAAATATACAAACCAAACATATTTTGGGATCACATTTGGCAGTGCTCAGGGGTTACTCCTGACTGTATTCAGGAATTACTTCTTGTGGTACTTGGGGGACCACATGGAATGCCAGGGATGGAACTCAGGTCGGCCACATGAAAAGCAAATGCTCTGGGTATTTGACTATCCTCTGGCTCCCTACAAACCAAACACTTACTGATACTAAATCATAAAGAAGTTTATTTCAAAATAAATAGTTAAGATTTTTTTATAACTTCCATACTTAGTTATGTGACCCCGGTATAAGACAGTAGGCTAGGCTGGGGGTCAGAGAGACTACAGCAGGTAAGGCAATGGCCTTGCCCACAGCTGACCCAGGTTCGATCCCCAGCACTCCATACCGTCCCCTTATCACTGCCAGGAGTGCTCCCTGAGCATAGAACCAGGAGTCAGTCCTGAGCACTGCCAGCTGTGGTGCCCAATAACAAGACACAAAGGAGCAGAGGAACTCAGCGCTAGGATGTTCAGGAAGTCTAGCCTCACTCTTGGGACCATCGGGTCCAGCCGGTCTCTGTTCACTTCTGATCTCTTTCCCCAGATTGTCAATGATGAGATGTGTGACATCTGTGAAGTCTGGACAGCCGAGAGCCTCTTCCCCTGCCGGATCTGCTCCAGGGTCTTCCATGATGGCTGCCTTCGCCGCATGGGCTACATCCATGGAGAGAACAACGCGGAAGTGACCGAGACAGCCCACACGGACACAGGCTGGAGCTGCCACTACTGTGTGAGCCTGAACAGGGTCCGGAGGGGGGCTACACCCCAGAGACTTGTCACTCTTTCAGAGGCTCACTCAGAGCTCTGGAGTCTAGCCAGGATAAAGGGTTCCCCACAACAGACTCAGGTCCTAGGACTAAGTCCTGCTTTTCATGCCATGTTGCAGTAATTCTTTGTTGGAGAGACTATATGCATTATAGGATGGTTACTAACATCCCTGGCTTCTGTGGCCACTAGATGTCATCAGTGTATACACACACACACACACACACACACACACACACACACACACACTTGTGCCAACCAAAATTATCTCAGCTATGTCCTGGGAGAGCAAAGTTACCCCCCCGCCCCCAAGAATCTTTCAGTTAGAGGACTGATCGGAAAGGCCACTACCTACCTGAACGGAACTTTGCTTGGAGCAGTGCTTGCTCTGAGAGTTTGGGATCCAAAGTCCCAGACTGCTTCCGGTGGAGCTAGATCCTCTACAGGAAACTTCTTAGTCTGAAGGCCCTCATTCAGCCTGTGCTCCCTGAAGTGATCAGTAAGTGAATGAAGTAGCAAAAGTCTTTTGGTTTAGAACACTGCATGTTATCTATAAATGCCTTAATGCCTTTTTTCCTTTCTTTGGCAATGCCAGAGATAAAACCCAGAGCTTCACATAGGCAAGGCATGTGCTGTACTACTGAGCCACGGCCCTGGCTCCCCATCCTCGCAACTTTCAGTGGAAGACAAAAAAAGGAAAATGGACATTCCTTCCGTTGCCATCACATCCAAATAGAGTTCAAGCCTTGCTTTATTGATCTTCTGTTTAAAATGTTCGGATTTCAGAGCAGGGAGCATCAGCTGAGCCCTTTCTTCTTGCTGCTTAGAGTGAAAATGTGTCACTTTCTGATAAATAACGCTTTCTCTATGGGTTGTCCATAAAAGGAAGTGTATCTTCAGCCAGGTACACACTTTTGTTTTGTTTTGGTTTTTTTTGGGTCACACCTGGCTTTGCACAGGGGTTACTCCTGGTTCTGCACTCAGAAATTACTCCTGGCGGTGCTCAGGGAACCATATGGGATGCTGGGAATCGAACCCAGGTCGGCCGTGTGCAAGGCAAACGCCCTACCTGCTGTGCTATTGCTCCAGCCCCCAATTACACACTTTTGCCCTGCCTATAAATTCACACCTACTTTACGAATGATCTCTAGACTCATCCACCCCTCCAAGAACCAGTCTTTTCACTTATGGCCTTTGCTTTGCAGTGTCCTGCTGATGGGGGCCTGCTGGAGGGGGATTCCCTCCTCCGTGCTCCCTTTCCAGCCGTCAACACCTCCACTCTCCAGAAGTTTCTTTATTTTGGCTTTGGGGCCATGTCTGATGGTGATTAGGCCTTGCTCCTGGCAATGTTCAAGTGACCATATATGATGCTGGGGATCAAACCCGGGTCGGCCACAGGCAAGGCAAGTGCCCTACCACTTTTCTATCTTTCTGGCCCTCTACTGGACTTCTTAGAGGTTTCTTCCAGGCTCCTCCTTTTTCTCTTTTTCCCAACACAGGCTTCTTTAAAGGTCTTTGTCACCTCCTTGTGGCTCCTCAGCCACCTCATAATCTATTTTAACTTTCATCCTTCTGCTGAGTTGGTTCCTCCTAAGGTCACGACTGACCTTATTGTCAAGTTCAAGGGCCTTTGCCCAGCTACCTTCATACTTGACCTCTCCAGCATATTTAGCACTTTTTTGTTGCAGTTTTGGGGGGAGAATAGAGAGTATATTTTGTTTGTTTCTTTTCTTTCTTTCTTTTTTTTTAATTGAATACAGTGAGATACACAGTTACAAAGCTGTTCAGGATTGGGTTTCAGTCATGCAATGTTTCAACACCCACCCCTCCACCAGTGTACATTTCCCACCACTAGTGCCCCCAGTTTTGCTCCTGCCACCTTTTACCTCCTCCTTGCCTCCCAGCTTGCCTCTATGTCAGGCACTTTTTTTTTTTCTTTTTGGGTCACACCCGGTGATGCACAGAGTTACTCCTGGCTCATGCACTCAGGAATTACTCCTGGCAGTGCTCGAGGGACCATATGGGATGCTAGGAATTGAACCTGGGCCCGCTGCATGCAAAGCAAACGCCCTACCTGCTGTGCTATTGCTTTAGCCCCTTTTTTCTTTCTTTTTTTTTTTTTAGGCACTTTTCTTCTTAAGAGTATTTTTATCAGTGTGATTATACAAAATATGAAAACTAGGGAAAATAGAAAATCAACAGAATTTTTATCCTCATAGAACCAACCATGGCATTGTTTCCTACACGTGAAGTTAACTCTCTTTTGTTGGTCTCTAGTACTCTCTCCCAATTCCTGTCTTACTTCCTCCTTCTCTGACAGTTCTAAGAACTTTTAGTTAGTTTCCTGTCCATCTTGAAAGCAGGTATAGGAGAGAGCTTGATGGGTTCCGGCCTTGCATGCTGGAACCCCAGGCTCAGTCTATGGTACCACCTGCTTCCCCAGCACTGCCAGTAGCTTCAGAGCACCCAGAAAACTGCTGGATCTGGGTTTTCCCCAATCCCCCAAATTGCTGGCGTTTCTCAAGATCCTGTTAGAACTTCTTTCTCATTGGTACACACTCTGGCTATACATGTTCGCTCCAGCTATATCCAACATCTAAACAACAATGACTCCTCACCTTTGTCTGTCCAGTTCCACGTGCACTGGTGCCTTGGACGCATAGCTCTCCTAAAGTTGCCCAGGTACCTCACACAACAATTCCTCAAATGACTCTGTCTTTCCATTATTTGTTCTGTCTCCATCCCCGACTTCTGCGAACACTTGTACTACCAGTTACTAATCCTGACTCAGTTTTCTCCCTCTTCTCTCACCTCGGTACGTCAACAAGTCCCACTGATTCTACCTCCTAATAGGACTAAAATCTCCCCCATTTTTGCATTCTCGTGTCTTTGTTTAGCAACTTTTCTCACCTGTGGCAACCTCCACCTAATCCTCACCCCCATGGCTTCAGACTATGCCGCTCCAATCTGCTCTCCATATTGCATTAGGGAATTGGAGCCTGGTGCTCTGCAATGAACCCCCCTGGGGCTTCCCTTCATTCAAAATAAAGCCCAATCTCAGGGGCTCAATAAAGGCATTGAAGCACTTTAATCTGCCTACCTCTCCTTCCTCAACTTTTAGCATTCTTATGCATGCATCTCTTTCTCTCCCTCCTCTGTCTCTGTCTCTCTGTCTCTCTCTCTGTCTCTCTCTCGCTCTCTCGCTCTCTCACTCTCTCGCTCTCTCACTCTCCCCCCCCCTTTCCCCTCTCTCTTTCCCAGCTACACTGAATAGCTGTTATAGTCCCAGTTTGTACTTGGCACTGTGAAGTCAAGAATGATTTGAGTTCTTTATAAAACCCATAAGTAGGTAATCATGAAATGCTTGCACCTGTTTTGACTTTGGGGAGTGGGAGTGGGGTTGTGGGGTGGTAACCTTCTTCTAGAAAATATTTTTTCCCCTTTTCTGGGCCACACCCACCATGTGCTCAGGGCTTACTCCTGGCTTCGAGTTCAGGGAGCACTCCTAGAGAATCATATGCGGTGCTGGGGATCCAACTGGGTTCAGACATGTGCAAGGCAAATGCGCTACCAGCCCCAAAAAGTCTTTTTAAAGTTTGGAGGACCCTAAATTATTGTTAACAAAATAACAGTGCTCTTTTGGAATTAAAACTTAGGTGGTACCACCAAAAAAAAATCATTTGGTTTTACAAAGTTTTGTTATAATGGTGTCTCATTCCAAATCAATCTTCAAAATGATACAATACCTGCACTAGAAGTAGATATGAAGTTACACCTTAAAAAAAAACCTAAATGAAAACACTTGTTGAACACAGTCCTTACTCAGAAGCCAAGTGGATCAGGTGGAGAGGCCAGCAAGACACTAGCCCGCTCCACATAACCTCTGCACTTCCTGAGGCTCTTCTGAGAACTCCCCAGGGCCTCTCTCTTTTTTTGTCTTTATTTTTGCTTTGGGGCTGTACCTAGTAATGCTCAGGGCTTACTCCTGGTGGTGCTCCGGGGACCACTTGGGATGCTGGAGATCAAACTTGGGTAATCCGTGTGCAAGACAAGAGCCCTAGCCACTGTACTATGACTCCAGCCCAGAGCATCTCAGAGTAATTTTAAAACCCCTTTCATGGGATTCAGGGCTGAAGGCAGGTATCTAGGGTCCACCACAGCTTCCAACCAGGAAGTGGAAACTGAGCAAGTTGTCTCTCCCTTCTAAATCCTTCATCTGACCTGGCCTGAGGCAGGGATTAGGTGACCCTAGCATGGTCCTCCAGTGAGCACCTCCCCCACCCTGGCTTCTCAGCCCAGAGCTCTAATGGGCACTCCCTCCTGTTTCAGGACAATCTCAACTTGCTGCTTACCGAGGAGGAGATGTACAGCCTCATGGAGACCTTCCATCAGTGCAAAGTCATCCCTGGTAAGGCTGCTGCGTGCAGCTAGGGGGCGCAGGGCACTTCTTCAGCTGTGTTAGGATGAGCCAAGAAGTGGCACTCAGCGGGGCTGGAGCGATAGTTGCTGCCAGTAGGGTGCTTGCCTCCCACATGGCCAACTCAGATTCAATCCCCAGCACCACTGTGGTCCCCTGAGCCCCACCAGGAGTGATCCCTAAGCCGGAAATAAGCCCTGAGCCCTGGTGAGTGTCGGGAATTTGGGGCCTGGGAGTAAGCAGATCCTAGTTCCTGGGTCACCAGCAGGGTACTCCCCAGCCCCTGGCCATAGCCCAAGTTATCCTGTCAGGGGGCGGGGGTTGAGGGGGAGGCTTTAGGGGGAGATCTCTGAGTGAATGGAGGAACCCCAGAGGCCATGGCAGGCGGGCCGGAACATGTGTGTTGCCTCCCTGCAGACTGCTCCCTGACGATGGAGGACTTCCTGCGCTACCGCCACCAAGCAGCAAAGCGGGGGGATAGTGACAGGGCCCTCAGCGAGGAGCAGGAAGAGCTGGTGGGCCGCGATTTCGCAGCCCTGGACCCTGAGCGTAAAGGCCACATAGAGTGGCCGGACTTCTTGTCCCACGAGTCCCTCCTGCTCCTGCAGCAGCTGCGACCCCAGGTGAGCTGGCATGACTGTTCCTGAGACAACAGTGACAGGCCAGGAGACATGCTTGGTGGGGGAGGGGGAGGGCAGGTAGGGATCAGTGTGAGGAAGGGGCTGCAGTTCTAGCCAGTAAGAAGGGGTCGGTACTCGGCTGGGGGAGGATTGGTTTTTTCCAGACCCCACTCTGGAAACGCTGGTGACCAGAGGTTCTGTCTGGGTGGTGCAAAGGGCAGGAGGTGGCTGAGGCACAGATGGGGGAGGATGTTCCGGGCTTGACCGTTTGCCAACTTTTCCTAACTGTGCCCGCTTCTTCTCCAGAACTCTCTGTTAAGGCTTCTGACACCCAAGGAGCGTGAGCGAACCCGGGATGCATTCCTGGCAATAGGTGGCGGGGCCGCCATCAGTGAGGCCGAGTGCCACCGCGCACAGCATGCCTGGTTCTGCAAACGCCCGGCAGAGGCCTCGTCCTGCAGCGTCAGGTTGTCCCCAAGTCCCCACCCCACTCACACGCACCTTCCATTCCCATGCCTCATGGCCCTGAAGTAAAAGGTGCCCCCACCAGGGGCTGGAGCAATCAATAGCACAGCAGGTAGGGTGTTTGCCTTGCACACAGCTGACCTAGGTTTGAATCCCAGCATCCCATATGGTCCCCCCGAGCATCACCAGGAGTAATTCCTGAGTGCATGAACCAGGAGTAACTCCTGTGCATCGCTGGGTGTGACCCAAAAAGCAAAAGCAAAAAAAAAAGGTGCCCCCATCTCCTCCAGGAGAGGGTCCCTCTACACACTGTGTGTGTGTTGGTGGCGGGGGGGAACGGGGACAGTGCTTTCCACCTCATTAGGCAAAGTGTGGCACAGTCTTGACCCCCTCTCACCAATCAGAAAAGCCTGCAGTGTCCATCCAGAGCCTCGGATTCACAGCTGGGGGGACAGGCCTCTCACACACCCAGTCCTAACACACATCACTGTGTGTTCCACAGTGTCAGCCACGTGGGTACCATAGCCGACAGCAGCCCGGCCAGCAGTAGCAGCAAGAACCAGGACAAGGCTCTGCTGCCCACTGAGCAGGAGACCAGGTAAGTAGGGCTCCTGCCCCTGAGGCTGCCCACCCGGCTATCTCTGGGGCACTCATATCCAAGCAAGGAAGAACGACACCTCTTGTACCCACTAAACAGCAACCATCCAGTGCAGACTCCAAGAATGCATGTTTGAGGGCTGAAGAGATAGTACAGTGGGTTGGGTGTTTGCCTTGCATGCAGCCAATCCTAGTTCTATTCCCCGGCACCCCATAGGGTCTCCTGAGCACTTCCAGGAGTGATTCCTAAGAATAGAGCCAGGAGTAAACTTGAACATCATTGGGGGTGGCCCAAAAACAAAACAAACAAGCAAACACACACACACACACACACACACAGGAGCTCAGACCCCTCTGACCTGTCCACTCGGAAACACAGAGCGGGTTGGCAGGCAGGAGCTGGGCCAGGAGCCTCAGGGTTCTGCTGCCAGTGTCTTAGGCTTTCTTTGCTTCCCTCCAGATCCGTGGACTGGCCGACCTTCCTGCGGGAGAATGTCATCTACATCCTGGCTGCGCGCCCCAACAGTGCAGCCATTCACCTAAAACCCCCAGGATAGTGTGGAGCAGAGAATGTCAGCCTGGGGAGAGGGGTGGTGTTCTCTCCCCGCACCCTCTCTCTCTCTCTCCCCTTCCCCCACCAAAGTCTGACATGGAGACTCACGGGGATGGAGCACTGCCAGCATCTCAGTTTGTCACTCAGCTTCATGACACGAAAATCCTGTCCCCCACCCACCCACCCACCCCATGCAGAAGCAGCCATGTGCTCTCACGGGGCAGCCGGAGCTGAGGCCACATCTGCCCCAGCCCCTCCTGCACCACCTCCTTGACTGAACCTGCCACTCACACACACATAGGCTGCGCTGTCCCTGGTTCTTTTGGGTTGAAAAAGGACCAAAGTCCCTTTGTGAGATCCCTGGAGGCTCTGCTTACTCCACCTGTGACCAGTTCTGGTTTCCGTTGGCCAAACACTGCAGAAGAAGGAAGCCTTGGGTTCCACGCTCCCTTGAGCCGGCCCTGGCTCCTTCCTTCCTCCCTCTGGCCTGGAAGTTGTGTGTTTGGGAGGTGGAAAGAGGATGAAACCCACACCCATTGTTTCAAGAATTCCAGTTCCCAGAATGTAAGAGTCCTAATCTGTAAGGCTCTAACCAGATAAAGAGGGGCACCAGCCCCTCTCTGGGACCTAGAGTTCTAGGGATTTCCCAGGAAGACATCCAAGTGCAGAAGACTAGCCAGTCACTCAATCCACAGGTGTGAGTGAGCCATCCTGGCCACTGCTCATGGCCCCGAGTCCCAGGGCACTATCTAGAACAGGTGAGTGGAATCCTCACCTCTGCATTAGTTGCTTCACCCAAGCACCCAGAACCCGGGCGACAGGGTCCAGATGGAGAGAAGAGAAGGCCTGTGCTTTCCCCACCTTCCAGTTTAACTCGGCTGTAGACTAGAAGCGTCTGCTGCTGTGTGGCAAAGGAGTCAGCCTCTCCCGACGCCCAGCGAAAAGTACCACAGACGCCTGAGCACAACGCCCCCTCGCCGCCCTGACCACGAGAGTAAGAACCTGGTGCCAAGATGATCCGCATCTCAGCCCTCTTGAGCAGAGAGTTCCAGCCAAGCCCCACGGAGGAGGAAGCACTTCCTTCTCTCCATCCTTAGATGCTGCCTTTCCCTGGGGCTCACAACATCCTTCCCTGCCAGGTAGCAAGCACCTGGGCAGAGCAGGAGGGGACTTGGAAGACATGCAGAGGTCCCCAGGGATGCCATGTCTGGCCTCCAGGCCCCAGCTTCCCCTCCTTCCTGAGTCCTCATCAGATTCCTCAGTCAGCCAGCGGGACCCCGGGTTTCCCCTTCCAGCCTAATGACAGGGTCAGCCTCCTCTGATGGCTGAGTGTTGATGGAGAGGTTCAGTCCCACTGACACAGGCCTCGTGGCTTATGGTCCTTAGAGAAAACCGGGCACTCCTGAAGGTGTCAGGTACAGTGCTGAGACTCGGGAAAGGAAGGGACTGCAAGCAGGGGCCCAGTCGGAGAACTGTGGGTGCCCTCCCTCGGAAACTGCCTGTCATACAAGCAGGCTAAGAAGATTTTTCAAGACTTGAACTGAGAGGAATGAATCTGGGTTCATGCAGATGAGCCTGAAACCTTTCCAAGCCCACAGCTATTCTGTAAATACTCCTTAGCCATACTCCCAAGGATGGTCATTATCCAATCTAACCAAAACAAACAAAACCAAGCACATTACTCTGGGGCCCAAGAACTGCATCCGAAGCAGCTGAGCCCGGGGTTTTGCACTAAGATGATTAAAGCACATTAAGCCCAGGGGCTCTTGCTGCCTTTCCTGGCAAATGATCCTCTGTCCCAGTACCTGGGGCTCCCTGATCCCGCCAGGCAGGCCTCTCTTGAGTTGAGGTGAGCTCTGGGCTTTGAGAGCTAGACAGGCCTTTTTGCCAGCCCCTCTAGCTTCCCGATCCTGCGCAGGTCAAGGTGATGGCCCCCTGTCTGGAGCAGCAGCGACTCGCCCATGGCTGCAGCACCCCAAACCAGGCAGGCTTCTTCCATTGGGCTTGCCTCTTCCTTTGCTGGGACATGAGCCTCCTTGGTCACAAGATGAGACAGAGGGCCTGGGGGTGGGGGGGGGAGGGAGGACACTGCCCCCAGCAAATTGCATTTCCAGTCCACAAGAGCTGCAGGAACCCAGAGGGTGGATTGGAGCCACATTTCCATAGGCATTTCACATTTTACCAAAGGGGGAGGGGGTTTCCCATTGCTTCCCCAGACCAGAGCTTCAGAAGCTGCATCTCAACCCTCCCTTTGTAGTGTGCAAATCTGTGGAGTCCTTTGCAGTACATATGGAGATGTGCAAACTTTTATCACCCTAGCGAAGCCCCCTCTTTCCTTAGCAATCCCCCTCCCCCCATCACTGTGACTTATCTGAAATTCTGCTCAGTACGTAAACTCCTGTCTAAGGGAAAGGAATGTGTTTCATGCTTAACTTGGCTACCCCAATTCAAAACTTTTTTCCAACCATCCCCTACTCCACCCAAGAAACTGGGGTAACCCCAACCTTGGAAGACAACTTGCCCTCAACCTGTTTTTCATCCAGAAGTTCTCCCCAGCTTTATTTAAACACGAGGCAGCTGGATGTCTGGAGTGGGGGGTGGAGGGGGGTGCTGCAGGGACAGGTGGGTCGTGGCTGTGGCCACATAAACTCCGGGGCTGCTCTGTGGCTTCCCCTTCTAAGACCAACTTTTCCCAAAGTTTCAGGCTCTGTGCTTTTGAGCAAGGGCACCTTTGGGGTCCAGAGATGACACTCACTCCTGGGTTCTGACCCACTCACAAGTGCTCTGTCTGGGAGGATGGCCACAGCTGAAGCCATGACACATGGCCTGTCCCGCCTCTCCACCCCAGTGCCAGGCTGCAGGGCAGTCACTAGCCTTTCTGGTGCTGGTGCTCCCCAAATGACATCACCCTTGCCTTGTCTGAGTGGCCAAATCTGAGGGTCCCCCCATTCCTTCCACCAGTACTGGAAGAACAGCATAAACTGTCTTGGGGAGGGCACCTCACTTGTGGACTGAGGCCAGCACTGTGCCCAGACCTCGACCCAAAGCACAGCCTCGCCAGCAGCGGGTTTTGTGGCTTTAGGAAGTGGCCTCAGGAAGCCTGAGAGACAAGAAGCTCTCTGGCAGGACCCCGAGCTATCCAATAGTCAAAAGTAATCTCAGGATTGAGAATGGATTGCAGCCACATCCCCCTCAAACCAGCAGAGTCAGGGAGAGACTCGGCACTGAAAGACAAATCACCTTGAAGCCAGAATTTCAGAACCCTTTGACAGACCTGGGTTCATGTCTCCTTGTTACCTGCCTATTTACAGTGGAAGAAGTGTCCCTGTGCCACTGCACAGGATTTTGTCCAGGTCTTTTTTTCTGGGGTTCCCAGCTACAGCCCAGATATCTTTACATTGGGGTTATTAATGCTTGGCCCTGGCATGAGGTAGGTCTAGGCACTTTCCCTGCTATCACTGTTGTAGGCAACCTGAAAAGAAAGGAGTAAAGTTTGAGAATTCCCTCCAGGCCAAACTAGTGAAGAGGATAAGTTTTCCTCAGAGCCACGTGCTCTGCCCCCCATACTTGGATTGTGTAGAGGTGCCTGGTCAGATCTGGACCAGTGACTAAGAAACCCAATCCTATTCCAGACTGGAGACCAGGGTTGGCGTGGCCAAGGATGAAAACACCAAGGCACAAGCAGCAAGATGGCCCCGTATACTTGGGGAAACAAAGGTCTGTAACATTAGCCTCCTTAAGAGAAGACTAGAATCTGTCTTCCAGCCACATACTGGTGACAGGGGTTGGTACTACTGATCTCTGGAGAGTCTGTCTTTTTGGCCCCTCATGTGTATCCTGCTATTTGCTGTAGACTTGAACTCGGCAGTAAATGGAGGGGAATAGCAACCCCACACACACCCCACTACCACCCAGAGCCCTGTCTTCTCTCCAGTTGCATGTTCCTCCCTGTGGCTTAGCCCCTCCCTCCAGAAGGAGCCAATGCTCCCGGAGGCTGGCACAGTGGAATCATAATAAAGATTGTAATGCTATTTTGACTTCCTGTTTCCTGTTTGGGAGCACGTGGTGAATTTCCATGTGGTTTCCTCTCATAGGCCAATTCCTGCATCTGAATCTAAGACAGGAAGAAATCACAGATCCAAGAAGACCACAATAACACCATGGCTCTCTTTCTAGAACTTTCCTGGTGCCAACTTTCCCAAGAATCAAGTTGGGGAAGTCAGTGGGAGGGATCAGAGCTCCTCCTGAAAATGGGAAAGAGGGTATTTAAGGCTGGAGTTGGTTTTTGGAAAAATTAAGTGAGGTCTCTGAGCCTATCTGCAGTGTATTCATGCCCCACACATGACCAAATGTCAGACACTTTTCTCACTTCTTGTTGAGCTACAAAGTAGGCTAATTCACTCTGCTTTATCATGAACTTCTGGGTCCTCCCTGGTCTAAGCATCTCTTCGCATTTCTGCATATTGTTTTCATATATGATTGGTAAACAGGGCCAGAGAGGTAGTTACAGGGTAAAACACTTGCCTTGCATGTAACCTACGCTGGCTCAATCCCCGGCACTGCATGTGGTCCCCCAAGCACTGCCAGGGATCCCAGAACACCACTGAATGTGGCTCCAAACCAGAGAAAAAATTAGTAAATGAAGACCTGTAAAAGCTTCTGGAGGACTGTGGAACCCCATTCATCTCTTTAATTGTGAAAATGAAACCAATATTTGCATTCAGAAAAGCATCTCTGTGAGTCAGAGGCAGATTACTCGACCTCCAAACCCCATAATCCCCAAAACACCTACTTGCTAACATTTTGGGGTATTAGCTATGCATTTGGACAGTCCTAAGGGTGTTGCATAAGGTATTTAACAGTCAAAACCACCAAGGAAATGTGTGTTCCCGAAGCATGAGGAAGAGAGGCTGAGCTCTCCCCAGCAAACAGGGTTGCCCTGCTCAGGAAGCAGGAGAGCCAGGCAGTCTAATTCCAAAGCACTCAACTACTGTGTGTCACCTGTCAAAGTAACTTCAAAGGTAGCACCTCTCCTTTCCATCCCCAAAAGCAGACATGCACAGGTAACAAGGCCTGCAGTCAAGTCACAGGACCCCCTGCGCTGCCTTGCTACCCCTGCTGTTCACTCACAGGGCTTTGTCTCTCTCCTCCATGGTGTTTTACCATGG